CAAATACTCCAAATTGGAAGCATTTCATCTTAGGCAAATTGAGATATTGTGTACTAAGTATTTCGCCCTTGTGATGCACTTCAATGCCCATTAGTAGTTTCAATAAAAAACTCTACTTGGGGGTAAATATATATACACTAAGTAGATATATCTTCAATATTTCTCGACAATCTTCAACCCACTTCATTTTTCTGGAAAAAAATTAATCACCCTATAATACTGAAATGCCAATTTGACTATTTTGAATTGGAAGCAAATTATATGAGTATATACGGAGTATTATTTCATTTTTCTAATATCACTATTATTATTCAATATATCTATTCATAATATTGAAATGAAATTATGTGTTACTTATATGAGCGTCATTGCATTCTCATATAAGTGTTGTTTCACAGTTATATGATTTTTTTGGAATGATGGACTTGATTGATTACAGTGACAAGAAAAGGAAACTTTGCTGATGGCGCATGTTCAATTCAGAAATCTTTTGAAGGTGATTCAGTTTTGTAAAACAGCTAACAGATATTTCTCTCGGTGTAGGAAGGGGAAAAGAAACGCCATCTAGTGGCGAAAATGCAACTAGATAATCATTCAACAAAATGTTTGTTCGACTTACCTAATGTATCTGTTGGTTCAGTTCAACAAAATAATTTGTTTGAGATAATGACATTATATCTATATATCACATCGATTCGAATACCTATAGAGTCATATATATATACAAAAATTATAATGAATTCATGCACGAATCAATATTTGTCTTTTTCCAAAAATCTTCGGAAGTATTTGGAATATATATCAAATTTCAGAACGGCATTTTGTTATATATAGGCATGAAATTGTGCAACTTTGCCTCCATTCAATCGATCTCATTTCACTTCTACATACTGTCCGAGATCCTAATGAATTTGGGACACCCTGTACATATCTGTATAGGTTCCTCAGTGGTCCCTCATGGTGAAAGTATACCTATCCCGATTTTCCCTTGGATTTTCCTCGAAACAAGAAATTCGTGAAAAAAACGAAGACGTCATTATTATATCCCTGCGCTGAGAACTTGACAACCCCTTTGGGAATCGTCAAGAAAAATGAGCCTTTATAAAAACATTCAGGCAATAAAACTGAAGACGCGGCATGGATGGATGACAGCTCGCCGAGTGACATATTACCGCTATTATTTCACGATACTACAGGGTCTTTCACATAATCGTTTTCCTCTTCATTCTTTTGTGTATTTCTGAATATATTATGCAATATGTCATTATATTATTCTCTCGATATCTCTATACAGAGTGTCCGCGAAAATGATATCGCACTTTGGTCACGCCATTCTCCATTTTGGGCCTCCTCCATAGGTTCGTTATACAAGGCGTCAAAATTTAAAATTTGAAAACCTATTTTTTTATTCGAAACCAAAAAATAATTGTTGAATTATTGAAAATAGTGAAGTTCAGTTCCCACCGAGGTTCCCGCTAAACCTAGTGTAAGCTCGTCGTGACATATACCCTGTATCTCGCCCTGTATACTATGTATAGTATAAGTCAATAGTGATGTGTTCTTCTTCGATATTTTATTAACCAAACCGTCAGATATATAGAAGTAATTCGAATACAACATTTATATATAGGGTTTCATGAGAACTATCACCTAAAATGATTTTCATATCTATGGGGTGTTCGATTTCCAAGATATCGGCTGATGATGTTTTTTTTAAATGGGACACCCTATATATTATCGCATCTTTAGGTTCTCCCTGAAGAGCTGATTTCATCAATACGTCACACTTGGGGTCTAGTAAGAATAATGACAGAGATATAGGGTGTACAAAATCGAGATTTTCCAACTTTTGGATTTTTTTGTGTCGAAACTATTCATTATTGGTGAAAATGGCTTACATGTCCCTAAGTCAACTTTTGATTTACTATCTACTGATATTCAATTGTAACAAATACTGGGTGATTCAAGATTCAGGAATTCTGATCTGGCCCTTTGGGGTTCCATTTGAAAATAATTATGTTTCTGCTATGTGCGACTGATTGTGAATTTAGCCTTGACCGATACCTTGACCACAGTTTAAGGAATCATGCACAATCTCACTTCTCCACGAGGTAAAATAAAAACAACTTCAATTTATTCTTTTCCAAAATATTACAATTATTGACATAAAGATTGCACTTGTTTCGACCTTTGAAATTGAAAAACAAAGTTGCTGGCATTCCAGCAATACCGGATGTCCGCCATATTGGATTGGAATGTGATCAAATCCGAAATTGTATTACTTATAATATAACTAACTGTATCAAATTTCAGTAAAATTCGTTTACAAATGCAGTCGTGGTCCGATAACCTTTGTCACCAGGTATATTCAAATTAGGTATACTACTAATTTTTTTCGATTTGAGAGCTCTTGATTGATAAAACGCGGCATATATATACTTGTAATAGTATGTCTAAAACGAATAATTTGTCGAAATATTTCAACAGGAAATAATGAATAATGATTAGTTCGAAAATTTCATGATAGTAGTTCTAGAAATTTCGTGATATATTCCAGGAACATGAAGAAATTTAGATAAATTTCGATAAATTGCGAAGGTAATCTCCGAGGTAATCTCAGAGAATTGCGGGAAATCGGGGAAATCTTTGGAAAATACATGATGGAAAAAAGGAACTTTGCGTGTAGGTATATATATAGAATTTGAGTGAATATATAGGTACCTACTTGGTTAACCCTTCAGAGCGTCCATTCTGTATATGTTTTGCTCTTCAATCCGTTATGTCTATGTTCATCCCGAAATTATTTTCATCCAAAGAATGAATGAACAAAAAAATCGATAATTTTTCATCTGGTGTCCAGATTGTAGATATATAGGAATGCATAGGTAACCAACGTGGAATAAAGCTACCATCAATTCTTTCGTGCCAACATAAAGGACGCCCAGTACAAACAGAATTGGGGATTTAAAGAAATTTGCATATTGAATATGTATGAGATATCATGGGGGTTAGAGCTGTGCTTAGGGTATCCCTCATGATCATCCTTAACAGGTGCTATAATATGACGATGGCATAGTGAAATCACGCAGAAGAGTCCGGCAATACACTTTTTATTTTTTTTACTTTTACTTTACACTTTCAATATTGTAGTAATTTCGAGTGCGATCGTAGTACAATAATTAATCTCGACAATGAATTGACTTTATTTTTCTGATAGTGAAATTAAACTCCAAAATGTGGCAAACAATTTTCGCACATTGGGAAATCAATACCTAATATATATAACCAAAGTAAACGTTTTAAAGTTTCCCATATATGGATAGTATGTTATAACTTTAACCTATTTATCCGGTAAATATCACTGCCGGAGTCGCTAATTATGATAACATAACCAGGTGAAATGGTGATGTCGAGTTTATTACTGCGTTACCATGCAGTACTATATCCAGCTGGCATAGATAGAGGTGAAGTGCATTCAGAAGTGTTGAATCAATGGAGAAATAGCGATCATATATTAAGATTACAAAATTCAATGATGTCCATAATGATATTTATTCACAACTATGGAGTCATTCATTCATTGCTAAATCGATTTTCAACATTTAATGACATCAGGTATTATTGTGATGAATTGAGTGATAAGAGAAATAATGACAGTAGGATGGCGTAATAATCTGACATCCCATCGTCTTGTCAGATTCAACTAGGTAGGTAGGTATTCTACTAGTTCTACTAAAATGCACACCATTAGGTATACTACTGTTTGTGAAATACACGCAAATTCAGAAGACTCACCTTACATGGTTCTCATAGTTTTAATCACCTTAATTCTACAAATACACGGAAAAATGTGAATTCACTGTTTTTCATTCTCAACAGTGACTACCATCATGAGTAACCATAACCATTAAATAGGACTTGACACTTGACAGTTGCATCAGATAGAACAGACCAATCAGAACCATGGAACTTCATTGTTGATAACTATCGGCTAGAGACAGGGTACTACAAATAATCATCGCGGTGGGGGAATGTTACAGCGGAAGCAAGTTAATGAATAATCTGCAATAGTATGATTCATTTTACAACTGAAAAGTGAAATGGCATATAATACCTGGTAAGATTGACTGATATGTGATTGCACGACTTTTTTCCTGTTAATATAAGTTAGATCCAACATTGTTTATCATATTTTCACAATCAAAATTATTGAAATGAGTTACCTAAGCTGTTCGTTGATTGAAATTTCTGTCAATAAGTTTTCGATGAAATTAATGAGTATTTCCAATCAGATTTAGTGAATTTTCAGTATAATAACCTTCATTATTTCCAAAGATATATTTCTGAACTCTCAGAGTTGCTTTGATATTTGAATAAGTAGTTGTAAAGTATAGTATTCTACTCGCACATAATGACTTTTACCCACTCAGATAATTACAGCACTCGCCTTCGGCTCGTACTGCAACTTTCATCTACGTGGGTAATAGCCATCATTATGCGATCGTTGAATAATATACTTACTATTATAAACACTATCGACAAAATATACTTCATGCATTGGTAAAAATCACAAAATCAGCGGGTCATGGTATCAAATACTTCCTCTGTGGCGTTTCCATGCATTAATATATTAGTGGTGAATTTAACCAGGATGCTGTGTTGATCGATTTCAACTTCTGGCATTTAGTTTAACCACGATGCCTATATATATATATAATGGCAGATTTAGGTTCTCGGTTAGGTTGTTAATAATTATATTCATATATCTCATCGTTTTTCGTGGCAAGATATACGACGATCTGTAGTATAGTTCGTATCGTTTTTTTTTCTGCGTGTAGATCTGCTGAAATCGGGAATAAAATAGAATGTATCCCCAGGAAATTAGGTGAAGTCGAGATTAATAGAATATGGAATTTTCATGTGAGAATGCCGGCGAGAGTATAAAGGAAATGGAATAAGAAAGCGCTGGCATTGGGTGGAAAAAGTATTTAATTTTCCAGCCAATCGTTACCAAGGGGCGGATCCAGATCCATAGGCATTGAGAGGTCATGACCTCCTGAGGACAACTCCTGGATCCACCACTATTCACTATACCAGGTGATTCAGAGTATATATCGGGCCACTCCTGTAACTTCGTAAAAGGATTTTTCTGAATTTTGGTACGAAATTTGGTGCGGTTTGGTAAGCAACCATCTCGGATTAGATCACATTACTAACCAATATGGCGTATTTCTGGTTTTTCTGGAAATTCCAGCACCTTTGTTTTTTCAAGTATATCTATATTTTTACATATTCAATTTCAACATGTCAAAACAAGTACAATCTGAATAATGAGATGTGTTCAAGACTATTCACAATCGCTTATAACACAGAGAATCAAATTTTTTTCTGAAAAAATAGTGTCATTCATCGATGAATCAATTCAGTCATATCACATTTCGATCAAAAATTCATTTTTTTAATGGAACCCCTATGATGGGCCTCCTACATGTCTCTCTTGATGAACATACATTGAGAAAGAAAATGACAACAAATGCATCCATCATACATTACAAAAATTGAATAATTCTTCAAGTATAAGTTGTGGAAAACAACATTTCTGAACCTTGTCATAAGGATTCCTCTTGTTTCGACCTATTGAGCTTGAATATGTACAAATGTACAGGGTGTTCCATTTGAAAAAACAAACTTGCTGGCATTTTCAGATAAAACAGAAGTCCGCCCTGTTGAATTGTAATGTCATCATCAAATCCGGAATGGAATATATGTACCAAATTACAGTAGAATCCCTTATTCACGAATGCAGAAGTTACAGGGATGGCCCAATACCCTGTAACACCCGGTATATTCATCACTCACCAGTGCTCGCAGAAAACCCATACCTACATTCCTTGATGGTTTCCTGAGAATGTTTAGCTTCCCGGTCTTGATCTTTCGTTATAATCCTCCTACGAGTCCTCCTATATATAGTCCTCCATTTCAATACCAAAATTAGCTCTTGAATTAACGTTTCTGTTACTGACACAAACATAGGTATGTTGCTAGGCAACACTTTTAGTTCCTATAAAGTTCAACTTTAGCTCCTAGAAACTAAAAAGGATGTACTATATAGAGGTCATCAAGAATAAACAACATTGTTAATATACGGTTGGTTATTTGGGTTGGGACGCATATACCTGATTTGTTTCCGATTTCGGCAGATTTGGCATTTGTTACCCAAGCTGGAGATATAAATACACCATATTATAGTTAGGTTATTTTTGTTTTGATCAGGAAAGCTCTCAAGATTCACATACTTGTTTGATCTGATGTATTCAATTCATTCTCGGGATCTAATTGATTGGTTAACTTGTTCGTTTCACACTACAATTTTGTTTACCTTCATTTGATTACCGAGCCAAACACAGTGGAGTATGGAGAGAAATAAATAATCGCTATCATTATTGTTGTTATGCTCACTAACCTAACGTTTTGCACGTCTTTTTCCTATACCTGGCACTGGCGCGGTAGTTGCTATTATAGGGCTGACACCAGGTCCATACACAAATGAGCCACTCTGTGGTTGTATATTTATATCGAAACTACAATTCGAACATTTTTGAAGATTCAATAAAACTGATCTGTTAATATATGTAGAATATTCTCACCACACGGATTATTCGTTGCATTGCATACATAATATTGGTGGTTACTTCACATATTTATTTCAGTTAATTCTTTCGGTTGCAGAAAATATAGCATGTTAAATTCGGATCAAAAGTGACTTTGTTTGACTGTCAAATTTTGCTTCCGCTCGGCTTCGCTATAAAACAATCTATACTATTTCAAACGTATACCTATAGGGTCTCCCATAATAGCCTTAGTATACAGGGTCCTGCATACCTCACCTTCCGTATCCTAGAGCTCAATTTTAAGTTGAGTTAGGATTTTGGTATTTTGCAGACTTCATCTTTTTTATGTGGGGTGGATACTAGGAAAATATTTTCGATTATACCTACAGGATGTCCCAAAAAAGTGTGAAGTCATAATGATATATTGTTTTGAAGGGCATGCCATCATATATTTTGTTGCACATTTGAGTGCTTTTTGTGGTTACCTACATACTCATGGAATTTTATCGAAATCGGATTAATGATATTCACAGTCAAAAATTATTATTAAAAAAATCAATTTTGACGTCATACTTTTTCAGGACATCCTGTTAAATCTAAAATATTTCCCCAGTGTGCGCCTTATGAGACAGACAAGTCTGCATGATAACAGAATCATAACTCAACTATATAACAAGTGAGGTTCGTAGTTTTTGAAAGGTATCAGATTTGTATAGATGTAGTTTTCATTAGGTATTAGATTAGTATAGAGGTCAGATAATTTATACGACGCTATAAAAGCAGATTATATTTTATCATTGCTCATGTAAGATGGAAGTAGAGGCCATGGCACCATATCATGAGTATATTTTTATATTGAAACTATCATTGGGCACCAAGGATGTGTATACGACGCTATGAAAGTTCGGAGGACTGGAGATTTTTCCCACAAACTACGTACTTAGCCCACTCGACTGTCTTGGTTTTTCCACACAGTCGAGTGAGCTAGGTACGTAGTTTATGAGACAAAAATCAAGACACTCGAGTGTGCTTTTTTTACTTTCTTTCGTTTTTTGTTTTGTTTTCTATTGGCAAGTGATTATTTAGGAACTTGTAAATTTTTTAGTTTTTTTATCGTATCTCCTGAACTATTGAATTCAGAGAAGAATGTTATACGGATTTTTTGTAGAATTTATCAAAAGGAATAATTTTGGTTTTATAACATTTTCAGATATTTCCAGTTGTTTTCGAGATATTTGGAATTATCTGAGAATAAAATTTTCAACACCTTTGTTCCATCTTCCAATCAACAAAAGGAAAAAATATTTCATGGTTCAGTGGAAGTCGATGAGCTTCATCTATCGATAATCTTTTGTTTTTCAATTTATCTTCATGGTACCCTATGGGTCGTTCAAATTTTTTTTTCATATTTTTTACTTTATTTCCTGTACTATTGGGTTTACAAAAAAAATTTTGGATAATAATTTGTAGGAATTGCTGCACTCCAGATAATTTTCGATTTTTCCATTTGTTTTCGATATATATTGAATTGAAAGGATTTCAAATTTTGATGTTTTGATTTTCATTTGTTTTTCCATTTTCCGATGAATGCACGAAAAAATGGTGGAATAATAATTTGTTCTGTCATCAAAGAGGCATACGGTGCATTTTTCAAATTTGAATTTAGTCTATTGGTCCAGGAGATATGTCGTTTTAAAGCGAACCGTGTGTTTCGGAAAATCTCCTTGAAAAACCCACTTGGAATTTTCCGATCCTGCTCAATTTCAATAGGCTTCGTCTCTTCCCGATAGAGTTTTTTTTCACGAAAAATAAAATCGATCGGACCACTTTTGCGATTTGTAGAGTGGTTACAAGAAACTTCCGGTGAAAAATCGAAAAAACCCGTAAAAACCACCTTAGAGTTTTCCGATTTCCTTCATATTTTAATGACATAATATTGTTTTGAGTACAATAGGATGGCAAAATTTCAAGTCGATATGTCAAAGGGTTCCGGAGATATATCGATTTATGATTAACACAGAGTACAGACAGACAGACCACACACAAAAACCAAAGTTGCTCAAAATTCGATAGGGATCATTTTCTCCAAAGTAACTATACCTCTATCTCGCTTAGTTTCCGAGATAGCATTTTTGGCAAGGCCGTAGTATACTCCACTATAGGTATAGCGTCGTATAATAACTGAGATGCAGGACCCTGAATAATATTCTCCTGTTAGAAACAGAAAAAAAGCTTTATTACTATAAGAAAAATTAATAAGACAACGGACATTTTATAGTTTCCAGATTCCACATTTTCCAACACCCTGTATCTCGAAAACGGAGTGTTTCCGGAATCCGTTCAACATTAGGTAATTAATCACCATGTACTTAGTTAATGAAATTTCATTCGATTTGAAAATTGGTGGATAGTGTACACCAAATTGCTCATTTATTGATAAAATAATTTTTCTTCTTTCACTTCCGGTTCAACCGGAAGCAATCCGAACTTTCGGTTTTCAAATAGGATATACCCTTTCTCTCTCGTTCTTTTTCTCTTGCTCTCGATACCGGGTTTGATAGGTTCATTTCTGAAGATTACGAAGATATTCCCGTACAAATTTTCCATATGCTCAATGAATGTGACAGAGAAAGAAGTTTCGCGTATTGCGCCGTCACACCCATTGAGCATATGAAATCTCCGAACGAAAATATATCTTCGTGATCGTTTAAAAAAAACATATTGAACCCGGTATTGTTGAATTCGTTATGATAATCCCTAAAGGATCATGGAATAGGGGGTGTCCTATATTTAGAAATCAAAAGTTGGGGTTGCTTCCGGTTGAACCAAAAATTGTTTTGTCAATGAATTAGCAATTTGGTATACTCTTTTCTCACTACTTCACAAAATCTGATATCGAATGGCACACCTTGTATTATAAGGAGGACGACTCACGACATCCTTCAGAATAAAAATAATGAATTTTATTGCTGCTGGTATAAGGGTGAATCACCGAATGCAATGTCTACAATAATACCTATATATTAGAAACCTTTGGAGAGTTCATTAATTCTAACGATTTTTACCTTTGTTTCTAATCCCGGTAAGAAAGGTTTCTTACATTATAAGATTTCTCATATGGGTACTATTACTACTATACCGACTGAAATGTCAGATTTAGTGTAATCGATCCGTAGGTATGTATTTTTATTTGTCGGTTTCCAAGATCCATGGGCAATCGTCACTTATAGGGCCGTGAACCTTTTAGCTCTCGGTTCATGAACTGAACAAATCAGAATTATTCTTACCTACTGCCCCACCAGGGTGTCTCATGAAGAATACGTAAAATTGTAGAAAGTGAATAATCCTTTAATTATTATTCAAGGCCTATTAAAGAACTGTTTCATTCTTTACTGCGTACACCTAATAGAACAATTTCATTTAA